CAGCCCCTTGGGCCAAGGTCCCCTTAGGCCCACTCGTTTTTTCTTGCAGGCCGTGAAGGGAGACGCCTTTGGAGGGCCATTTGGGGTCTCCACAAGGGCTATGGAGCACAGGGAGGCTGCCAGCCACACAAGATGGGTATTGGCCTAGCAGATGGCAGAGGCTGAGGAGTTAACTCTGGCTCCCCTGGACAGTGCCCCAAAACTCTGGATGCCCGGCTGCCTCTGATAGGTGCCCCAGGGTAAGTGCCTGCCCTTGGCTCTGATCCCAGGGACTTTTCCAAGCTGATCCCTGGCTCCAAGATAGGGGCTAGAGGCCAGTAGGATTAGACTTCAGGGGACTTGCCCTCATTTGCTGAACTCTGCTCGAAGCCACTTCTTCCTTATTTTTGGCAAATGAATCAAACGATTGGGTCCCTCCTCCTCCCCCCACCTCAAAAATCTCCCACCAACCCAAGGGGGCTGGCCTGAAGGGCACTGAATCTGTTTCCCAAACACTAGGCCCACTCCGAGCCGTGCATGCGGTGGGGACAGCGCCTCCTAGCAGCCACCGAAGCCAGGATGGACATAGGGAGCACTGACTCAAGGCCTGCAGCACGGGCTAGGTCACGTTGTCATCTCACTCCAGGCAGACCCCTGTACTGCTGTCCAGCCCTCCGAGAAGTGAAACCTGGTGGTCCTCTGAAGTTTTGTAGGGGATCTTTGGTGTTGGAGCCTGTCCCAGCCAAGGCCTGCAGGGGAAATGTATAACTCTCCATTTTAATGAGAGCAGCGTGGGGTGGGGGGCCAAGTGACTTTCCAAGAGCCTCAGCCAAAGAAGGTGGCCGGCCAGATGAAAGTCATGATCTGGGAAGTTGCTCCCAACTACACCTCCCATCTGCATGCCTGTGCTTTGGCCTGGGCACACCCGCTCCCACCCCCCGTCAGCCCCCAAGATGGACCTGGGCAAGAGACGGCCATCTGGGGGAAGAAACCACTTGGGTATAACCTATCTCAAGGAATTCTTATCTTGGGACACCTGGGTGGCTCAGTTGGTTAAGCGGCTGCCTTCGGCTCAGGTCATGATCCTGGGGTCTTGGGATCGAGCCCCACGTGTGGCTCCCTGCTCGGCGGAGAGCCTGCTTCTCCCTCTCCCTCTGCCTGCCACTCTTCCTACTTGTGTTCTCTCTCTATCTCTCTGTCAAATAAATAAATAAAATCTTTAAAAAAAAAAAAAAAGGAATTCTTATCTTTTGCAGCTACCCAACAATCTTTTTTTAAAAGATTTTGTCAGAGAGAGTGAGCCCAAGCAGGGGGAGCAGCAGAGGGAGAAGCAGACTTCCCGCTGAGCAAGGAGCCCGAAGTGGGACTCCATCCCAGTAACCTGGGATCATGACCTGAGCCGAAGGCAGATGCTTAACTGCCTGAGCCACTCAGGCCCCCAGCTACCCAACAATCTTTTTAGAAGAAACACTTTTTATGATGCTCAGTCACAACCTGGGACATAGAGATTTCTGTCTGCCATTTGGAGCCTTCTAGGGCCTTGTCGTGTAAGCCCAATAGAGGCAAATCCGGAGTTATAGAACATATCAACAGAGGAACAGTTGCTGTTTGCACCGAAAGGATTATTAGGGGGCTTCTCAGCTTTACAAGTGGGAGGATTTCTTTTAAACTATAACTTCTCTGGCTTTTGAATATGCTTTTCATTCTGAAAGTCTGATTAATGGGTGACTTTTCTAGCTTGTGTCTGTGGTGGAAAGTAAGGGCCATGGCCACAGAAACTGTGGCACTGCGGTATTTTGTTTTAGCCACAGGTTCAAATAGAATTTGTTGAGGCCAAGGGATTAAGGGGGGTGGGAAGCAACCAGCCACCTTGTCTCTGAAGAACCTGGGGTGATTTGCAGACGAACGTAGGCACTGCTTGAAAGAGGGGACAAAGACAGGCTGAGAAATCTGCCAAGGTGGAAAGGCAGGTTGAACACAGGATTGGCAAGCGAGCCGGCCCCGCACGGAATACGGGAAGGACCCAGGTTCTGAGGCTTGAGAGGACTGAATTGGAGTTGGGGAGTGGGGGTGGGGGAGGACAGGTTGGAAGGAGAGAGGCTGAGAGCGCACACTGGATGGTGCAGTGCAGCCTGGGCATCCATGGGCAACTCGAGAAGGGAGATTCCTGCCAAGTCAGGGACTGAGCCATTGGCAGAGACAGCGTGGCTGTCATCAGGGGCAGTGATCTCAGCTGGCCGGCCCCACCTGGCTGGGGCTCACCCAACGGGCAACTGGAAGAGCGGGGAGCCAGGTGGGGAAGGGCTGGCAGGCTGGGGAGCAGCAAGGTCATCCGGAAGGGCAGCCTGGCTGACTTGGAGCCATGGAGCCGGGCAAGTCACTCCTGTGGCCCATATGGGGCTCCCCAAGGGGAGGTCAGCACAAGATTTTCATCAAGGGGGTGTGGGGCTTGCTTTGGCCGCAACTCCCAGATCCTGGGACTGTGGTTAGTTCCGAGTGGCTGGGGAAGGTGGGAACTTATGGGATTCCCACAAGTGGGCTCCAGGTCACTGGCAGGTAATCGGGCCAGTTGCCGGTTAGCTGTTAGCTGGTCGGGGCAGTGCCCTCTCCCCCTGCCCTTCCCAAGAGGAAGACCTCTCCTCTGGCTTTTCCGTGCCTTGAAGCTTCAGCTCTGGTTTAAACCACAAACACTCTTAGGAGGAACCCACCATTAGTCCTCAGCACCTTCTGGCCTGGCCTTATCGGACTTTCTCCTGAGAACTGGGGATGAGAAAAGTTGAAATGAGGATGAAGATGCTGCTGAAGGTAGCTAACACTGATTGAGGGCTTACTAGGCACCAGGCGCCACTGCCATAGACATAGGTCATCTCATTCAGTTGTCACCACTGCCTTTCTTTTCTTTCTTTCTTTCTTTTTTGTTTGTTTTGTTTTGAGAGGGATAGCAGGGGAGGGGCAGAGAGAGAATCTTAAGCAGGCTCCATGCTCAACGAGGAGCGGAGCGGACACAGGGCTCGATCTCACGACTCTGAGATCAGGACCTGAACCAAAATCAAGAGTCGCATGCTTAACTGACTGAGCCACCTAGGCGCCCAATCACCATAGTCATTCAATGTAGGTTCTTATTATCCCCAATTTAAAAATAAGGTAAGTGAAGCTCAGGGAGTTTAAGTGACTTGCCCAAAGACACACAGCTGGTAAATGGTGCAGGTGGAATAGGAAACCAGGTCTGTCTGATGTTAGGGACCATTGAACCCTTAGCAAGATGGAAAAGTATGTGTGTTTGTATCTATTAGTGAGTCTCAAGGTCAAGGTAAAGGGAGCTTAGGGATGGCTGGGACCTACCATGATTTCGATTTCGACAGGGGAGCCTCACAGACAAGAGACCAGCAGAGAACGGTGTGTCTCCAGGATCAGGAATCCCCTGGGGAAAGCATGGCCACTTAGAAAAGAAAAAAAAAAAATGGAAATCTTCTCTTGGGGCTTATTTCAGGGACTTGGCTATAGGTAGGCAAGAGATCTCAAGGGCCAGTGCCCCAGTCCAGCCCCTAGGTTTTCCCCCAGAAACCTATAATCTGCAGCTGCCTTCACTGCCATCATCCACCACCATTCCTGTCCCCCAGTCTTGTGCCAGGGACCATCCTCTCCCAAGGCTGGGGAAGCAGGCAGATGCTGGTGGTTGAGCAGGTCCCTGAACTTCAGGCCCTTTGGCCACCCCTGCCCTTCAGAGGGCCTTCCTCCTCTGGTGCCCCTTCAGCTTTCCTGCTTTCTGCCAAGGAGCTGCCAGGGCTGAGGCTTGGATGGGCCCTTCCTCTAGCCCATGTAGAACCATAAGAAGTGACTATTTCCAGCCATCTCCCTCATAGATCCTCCTAGCTGTGGGACCCGGTGGCGTGTGGGGGCTTGTATGGATGCCGAGGCAGGTCAGAGAGGGTAAGGGGGAGATAGAATGGGAGACTGGGGTTCATATGGATGCCCCACACAGGGCAGCTTGGCTTTGGAGAGAAGGGGGGCACGAACTTTTTCCCAGCACCCCAACTCTGGCTGCCTCTGCACCTGCTGTGGCAGTCCCGCTCCCCCCCACCCCAGCCCTTCCCCTAATTCATGTCTGCCTGGTCTCCCCCACCAGAAGCCCTAGGCTCGACTTCCCTAAGAAGTCCCCCAAACTCTCCAGTCACCCCCAAGCACACGATGAGGCATTTGGCCCAGGATTCCCGCAGTGTTTGGAATCTAGCTCCTGAATTGTATCCTCTGGGCATCTCCCGGCCTCACCAACCGCTCCGTCCGCCCTCGTCCTCCCATCAGGTCCGCACACAGCAGGCGCTCAATAATCTGGAGTGCAAGGGTGTGGGCCAAAGGCGTCAAGCCAGTGGCGTGTGCAGGCCGAGGGGGGGTGGACATAGCCATCCAGGGTCCCCGGGGAATAGATTTCTCTCCGAGGCATTGTGTGGGGGCTTCCCGCCGGGAAGGGCCCCCACAGGGAGCCGAGAGCCCCGGCCCCGCCGCGTGCTAGCAGACTGAGGGGCGCGGGCCAAGAAAGGGGTGCGCGACGTGGGCTCTGCAGGGGCCCTGCTCTCGCGGTCCCCGGGGGCGAGCGAGCCGTGAGGGGAAGGAGAGGCCGCGCGGGCCCCTGGCACGGCTCCCCCTGCCGTGCTGGCGACCGCGGCGGGCCGGGGGTGGAGGGGCGCTGTTTCCACCAAGACGCCTCGTCCCTCCCTCGATCCCTCACCCACCCCGCCCGCCCGCCCCGCGGTCCCTCCCGTCGGTCCCTCCCTCCGGCTCTTCCCTCCCTCCCGCCCTGCCTCCTTCGCGCCCGCCCCAGCCGCCGCCTGAGGGGACGTGTAATTTCCCCTTTCGCTCGGGTGTCTCAGTGCAGGTCTCCGCCGGCTCGCGCCCCCTCCCCGGGCGCCCCCGCCGCCCCCTCCCTCGGCGTGGCCCTCCCCGGCGGCCACCCTGGTCCCCCCCCGGCACTCCACCCCGCCCCCCGGAGTCGTTTTATCAGGGGCGCCGCCGTCTCACCTGGTATTTGCATCTCGCCCTCCAACTTGCCATTGGCGGCGCGACGTGTGGGAGAGCCCTGCGCCTCGCCCGCCCGGACCAGCCTGCCCCGGCGCCGAGGTGAGTCACGGACGCGGGGCCGCGGGGGCAGGCGGGCAGGGAGGAAAGAGGGAGGGAAGGAGGGAGGGGGACGGTGGCCCCGGCGGCCGCGGGGACCGACCGGGCGCCACGCTCAACTTCCACTTCTCCTTTCGCCGGCGCCGAGATCCCGGCGCCACTGGCCCGGCCCGGCTTCTGAGGGGAGAAGGCGGGCTGGGAGGGGGGGGAGGGCGGGAGGCGGCTGGGGACCCTCGCCTGGGCCCCCGGAGCGGGGAGGGGACCGCAGTGACTGACCCCAGCCCGGCGACCAAGCCCACTCGGCCTCAGGTACGTCGATGGCGCCGGTTCTTCGAGCCTTCGGGGACCTCGAAAAGTTTGCCTGAGGGCGGGATCGGGGACGCTGGGGCCCCGGCGTGTCGGGGTTGGGGGCCCAGGGGATGGTGGGAGAGCCGCGGCGTGTTGAGTCCCGCCCTTGCCTCGCCCCACCGCGTGTGTGTTGGGGAACCCGGGCTTCTGAGCCGGGGTTAGAAACGGAATCGAATTCCCAAGCCAGGGTGGGAGGCCAGTTTTCCCGCGCCCCGGGCCGCGGGGGTTCCGTGACAGGGCCGATCGTGGCAGAAGGCCCCCAAAAGCGCGGTGCTCGAGGGCGGGAGGTCAGACCGTGCGGTGGCGGGGCAGCCAGATTGATCGGGCGGCCCCTAGCGCCTCTGGGGCCAGGAGCCTTAGTGTAAAGCGCACACTCACTAGTGTAAAGCACGCGCGCGCGCGCGCACACACACACACACACACACACACACACACACACACCCCTATGACTTGGATAATTGGATCGCCAAAATAGAGACCTCTTGGCAGGGGCCAGAGTTTCCGTGTGAGCAAGACGCCAGCCTTCCCGCTCCCGCGTTCCCGCTCTCCCGGTTTCTCCCGCCTCTCGGTTCCTTCCTCTGCTGCCGGCGAGGCGATTGAGCGGCGGCACAGCGCGGGGTGCCCTGCCGGCAGCGCCTTGCTTTGGGGAACTGCTGAGGCGGTGTCCGCTTTACGAATTTCTCGTCCCTCCACCGCACCCTAACTCTGCTGCCCTCTCCTCAGGACTGGGTGTAGGGACATGGCCTTCCTGACCAGAGTCACCTCCTGACCCCTTGGTACCTCGGCTCAGCCAGGTTCTCCCTGGCTGCCCCCCCCACCCCCGCTGTGGGATTTGATGGCAGTTTGATTCCTGCCCCTCATCCCTATGGCCCGAGATAGAGGCCTGTCTGGTCCTGCAGCTTCTTCTGGTTAATGTTTGACAGTTCATTGTGGCTAATCATTTTAATTAGCTCTTAAAGTGGGGAGGAACAGTTAACCTTGGACTTCTCGATTTTGGCCTGGTGGGGCCTCAGATGGGAGGAGTGCTAGGGAGGTGGGGAGGTAGGAGCGGAAGTGAGGTCACCACCCCAGGGCCTGAGCCACCGCTGCTTGGCCCCAACAGCTGGTGGGCACGCCCACTGGGGACTCACCCCCTGCAAGCTGACCCCTGGCCGGAGTGCCAGGTTGGAGAGGGGTGAAGGGAACAGATCTAGCTCTCCCCTTGGGGGGAGATCAGACACTTTGGCACTAAATATGCCTAGGGAACACGTATGCCCGGTAAGAATGCAAATCCCTCTTCGCAGTTAGTTACACAGGGTTTTACCGGTTAGAAGGCACTTTCTTCAACCATTGATTCAGTGGACCCAGAGCAGAAACAGCCTAGCGGGGGAGCTATCTTGAGTTAAGTGAAAGACTTAACTCTCTTGGAGGACTTGTTATCCTGGCCCTTGTGGGGAAGAGGCTGCCTTGCATGTGGTTGTTTCTGGGGCTGGGTTCTGTTCAAAGCCTGGGATGTTTGGGGGGGGGGCTGTTGAGCAGGCTCCACGTTGCCACCCTCACCCAGCCTCTAGCTGTGAGCCGAAGGAGTGGCTTGTTTGCAACTATGTCTGGCATTCCTCCCACTGCTGCACTGTTTGCTCGGTGGTTGCTCAGGAACTGGCGCCCACCCCTGGACAAGCTGGGGGCCTGAAACCCGCTCTCCCCCTGACTGGTGCAAAGTGGTGGTACAGTGGCTTCTGTCTTCTCTGTCCTATGTTGGGATCTAAAAATGAGGGTGTTGTGGTCTGTCATTCATAGGCCTGATTAATAGACTATCCAAAATGCCCCTGGCCTGCAAAATTCAGGGCTTTTGTCTCTCAAGAGGCCCAGCCAGGCGCAGGCTGAGGGGATTGCTTTCCCAGGGAAATCCCTGCTCCTAAGCTTGGCCTTGGGCCTTGCCGCCCCCACCCCCACCCCCAACTTTCTCATTTTACCTTCCATCCCTAGAGCCAGACTGTCTGGGTCTAAAACCTAGCTTTGTTATTTACTAGCTATGTGATCCCAGGCAATTGTATGCCTCAGTTTCCCCATTTGTCAAATGAGCCCTACCTCATAAGGTTGCTCCAAAGATCAAATACATCAATAAACATAAGCTGTTTATTAGAATAGTATATGGCACATAGTGAGCATGAACCAACATTATGGTATTAATCTAATACAGTGCCTAAAACTCATTCCACTCAACAAACGTTTGCCAAGAGCCAGTCCCCGTAGCAGGCATCAGTGAAGTGGCAGTGAGAAAATATGGAGGTGAAGAAGATGCCACATGCCTTCCAGGATTGTGTGTAGCTTCTTTTGTAGGCCGGAGTTGGGGTGCAGGGTGTGGGAGGGAGCCAGGGAGAGCGTCTAGGTCATCTATATAAATAACCATAGTTCTAAGCCAGGCTGGAATACTTGAGCTAGTGTGGGGAGCCAGGCATCCCAGACTTGGAGGCTTCTCCTTGCCTGGGGACCCCAGCGGGGTTCTGGTCTGGATGCACCTTCTGCACTGCTTTGGGAATTGGATGAATGACGGGGAAAGGGAGACCTTGCTTCCTTCGTGGGCTGCAAATGGCATGATTCGTTGGGTCCCAGGGCAGGACAGCATTACTTAGCGCCACCCCCCAAACACCCCTCTAGCCCTCTGGCACACCCCCACCACCTCCCGGAGGTTCCCTGCTGAGCTGGGAAAGGCTTAGGGCAGCCTTCTCTTCTCAAGCTTGGGCCTGACCCCAGCCTTGGCTTGGTTATCTCTCCAGGATTTCTAAGCTGCAAAGAGGTTTCTGGCTTCACTGCCAATTTATTCCCTTTGTGGTTCTCAGACTGAAAACTAGTTCTGCAGGGGAGAAAGGAAACTCATCCGAGGTACCCAGAATCCCATGGGCACTTTCCTAGAGGTCAGGGGCTTTTCTCATCAACACCAACCTGCCTGCAAATCTCTGGCCGCTGAGCCTCGCATGGCTGGTAATCGTGGCCTCGCCAGTAATGCCCTCTAGCTCGGGCCCCAGTGCTCGTTGCCAAGGAACTGCTGGTCGGGGTGCTCGTTGAGGGTTCTGACCTCACAGGGGCTGCTGAGTTTCAATTCAACAGCCATTTATTAACACCTACTGTGTGCCCAACCTGTGCTAGGCACTGTGGAGGAGACGAGTGAAGGAGGTGGTGGGGGAAAGATGACTAAGACACTGAAACAATCAGAGGCGAGGACAGGCAGCCAGGTCAGTGGCTGGTCAGGTGCTAATTGTGCTCCTTGGAGCAGGGGCCAGAGGCGGCCAGGGCTCTGAGGTCGGCAGCTGGAGGAGGGAGGGAAGGCTTTGTGAGGGCCGAGGCTCGAGCTAGACCTTGAAGGGAGGGGGGGTGGGGTGGCGCGGGGGAGATTTGGCTGGGCCCAAAAGGGAGAAAAGACGCCTTTCTCTGTCTTCCCTGGCCACAGACTGACCTTCGAAGCCTGGATAATTGTTTGGCAAATACATGTCACGTAAAAGACCAGGTCAGCCAGTGTGGGTGGCTCAGAGCAAACCCCCCAATCTCCACTCCAGGAGATAGAAAGTGGCCGGCCTGGACCAGGAGCCGAGGGAGCCCAGCGTGTATTGATAAGACACAAAGGGTAGGCAGGCTTCCCTGCCACCCAAGCTGAGGGGATTTCATTTTGAGCTCCCCACCCCCACCCCCACCAACACACACACACACACACATGCACGCACGCACGCACGCACGCACGCACGCCCTGGGGGAGGCGGGTGGAGAGAGGGGAAGAGAGGTAGAGGGCACCAAAGGGAAGGAAAACCAAAGCACCAGTGGTGTTCACAGCGGGCATCGGCGGTTGGATCCCACCTTTCCCCAGGGGTCTGGGATTCCTCTGAAAGCCGGGAGGTTCAGGTGGAGAACAGAGATTTTCATTTCTTCAGTGGGAACCCAAGAGTCTAGAGAGTCCCACTGTTTCTGTCCAGACCACCCGGGCAAGGGCAAGGACTAGCCATGTATTTGTTCTGCTGCTTCTGTGTCTCCCATGGCTGAGTGTAGAGGGGAACTGGGCTCTTGTTGAGTTTAACTGGAGAAAAACACCCAGACACACACATATCCTCCCCTCCCCCACATCATTTTTCCTCTCTCACTGCCCTCTTCCCCTGCCCCCTCCCCAGCACGTTGCAACACCACAGGGACACACCAGAGTGTCCTGGCTTCTTGGCTGGGGAGTCATGTCCTAAGGTGAGTTTTTTGGCAGAGACCCCAGCATTCTATAGGAGGAGAAGGAGGCTCAGGGAAAGGTGTTTCATGCAGGAGGTTCTGCAAGGGAAAGTGCTGGAACATTTCTTAAACCAAGAAGAAGAAAGAGGTTAAGCAGCTTGCCCAGGTTGAGCAAGCTTGGCCTTAGGTTCCCACCTTCCTGATGGACCATTTTATTGTCCCACTGCTGGTACTCCCTGCTTCTCAGTCCATCTGCCCTTCCTGAAGCTTCCTTTCCTCTTCCAGTCTAACCTAGTATCCTTCCAGAGAAGTGTTCTCACTCCAGACCTACCGCTTACTGACTCTGTGAGTATGGGCTGGTCCCTTAACCGCGCTGGGTTCCAGTGCCCACCTCACAGGGTCGCAAGGAGGATTAAATGAGAGACTGCACGTAGGGCACTCTGCATGGTGCCTGGCGCACCGTTACCGCCCCA